ACGTCTACCACAAGCCTCATGTTATTAGAAGCACACCTTTGGAAAACAAGTGATTTGTTATTGCCAAAAAAAATGTGTCATTGCAAATAAATTACAATGGATTTGTTTGTTTTACAAATCGACTTTATAAAGCAAGATGCTCACTCGTCTCATTAATATGTAATTAGATACATCCCCATAAAGTCCCTCACAATAATGATAGTGACACTGGTGCTCATGAAAACCTTGGCCAGCTCCAACTTTTTAAAACTTCCTTGAGAACTTCATAGATCTGTACAATGTGTCTGTATCAAATCAAACCTCTCATCACAGATCCCTCCAAATTTTGAGTGTTCTGTTTTTAGACACAGAGTCCAATTAGTGTGGCTAGTTGGTGTGCTCCACTAAACTGTGGTCAACATACCCAGCCAAACCTTGTTTTCAATGTTTCATGTCAAACATCTCATGTGCTCTCCATTATAAGTTTATGAGGCAGATAGTCTTCTCATCTTTATATTGCAGATACAGAAACTTAGGCAAAGTTAATTGTACCTGGGTAGGTTACGCAGTAAGATGGCAAAGCAGAAATACCAGTTCAGGAACTCAGATGATGAAACCCGCCTTTCTTTTTTTTTTTAAGTTTTTTAAAAAATTTTTTTATTGGATGTTTTATTTACATTTCATATGTTGTCCCCTTACACCATCCCCCACCCACCCAGGAACCCCCTATCCCCTCACCCCTCCTCCTTCTTCTCTGTGGATGTAATCCCTACATACCCCCCCCACTCCCACCTCCCCATCCTCAAAATTCCCATCCCCTGGGGCGTCCAGCCTTCATGAGGTCAAGGATCACTTCTTCCACCTATACCCAGCAGGGCCCTCCACTCTTACATATTCAGCTGAAGCCCTGGATTCCTCCCTAAGTGCTCCCATGCTGGTGGTTTAGACCCTGGGAGCTGTGGTTGGTTGATATTGCTGCTCTCCTCATGGTGCTGCAAACCCTTTCAGCTCCTTCAGTCTTCACTCTAAATCCTCCATTGGGAACCCCATGATCAGTTCAATGGCTAGTTGTGAACATCTGCCTCTGAATATGTCAGACTCTTGAAGACCTCTGAGGAGACATACATATCAGGCTCTTATCAGCATGCACTTCCTGTCTTCCACATCAGCATCTACCTTTGGTGATTGCACATGGGATAGATACTCAGGTGGGGTGGTCTTGAGACGGCCCCTCCTTCAGTTTCTGTCCCTCACTTTGTCTCCATATTTGCTCCCTTGAGTATTTTGTTGCTCCTTCTAAGAAGGACTGAATCACCCCCACTTGGTCTTCCTTTTTTATGAGCTTCATGTGGCCTGTGAGTTGCATCTTGGGCATTTCAAGGTTCTGGGGTAATATCCAATAATCAGTGAGTGGATACCATGTGTGTTCTTTTGTGATTGGCTTACTTCACTCAGGATGATAATTTCTAGTTCCATCCATTTACCTAGGAAACTCTCGAATTCATTGTTTTTAATAGCTGAGTAATTGTGTAAATATACCACATTTTTTGAATCCATTCTTCAGTTGAAGGACATCTGGGTTCTTTCTAGCTCCTGGCTATTACAAATAAGGCTGCTATGAACATAGTTGAGCATATGTCCTTGTTATATGTTCAAGCATCTTCTGGGTATATGCCTAGGAGTGGTATAGCTGGATCCTCAGGTAATGCTATGTCCAATTTTCTGAGGAACCGCCACACTGATTTCCAAAGTGGTTGCACCATCTTGCAGTCCCACCAACAATGGAGGAGTGTTCCTCTTTCTCTACACCCTCGCCAGCATCTACTATCACCTGAGTTTTTGATCTTAGCCCTTCTGACTGGTGTGAGATGGAATCTCAGGGTTGTTTTGACTTGCATTTCTCTGACGACTAAGGATACTGAACATTTCTTTAGGTGCTTCTCAGCCATTCGAGTTTCTTCCATTGAAAATTCTTTGTTAAGCTCTATACCTCATTTTTTAATAGGGTTATTTGGTTGTCTGGAGTCTAATTTCTTGAGTTCTTTGTATATATTGGATATTAGCCCTCTATCAGATGAAGGATTGGTAAAGATCTTTTCCCAATTTGTTGGAAACCCGCCTTTCTAATTTTTAAAAATTATTACATTTATTTATTTATTTATTTATTTATTTATTTATTTATTTATTGTGTGTGCATGCACGTATACCACCACATGGGTGTAGCGGTCAGAAGACAACTTTAAGCGAGTCCCTGATTTCTTCTATCACATATATCCTCAGGATTAAACTCATGTCATTAGCCTTAATGACAAGCACCTTCACCCACTGAGCCATCTTGGTGGACTCATCCTACTTTCTTCATTGTTAAATAATAATGACTTAGTAGGCAGCAACTGAGCTGGCATTATAAACTTCCTAGTTACAAAAGTAACACTAAATTATGTGCAATGGAAAATTACTGAAATCCATAGAGATAAAGCCTTGGTCTGACATGACCCTCGTAATTTGCTCTAAGCAACAGGCCAAGGATGATGACAGAGTGGATGCACACACTCTCACTAGTCTTTTTATGTTGCTTAAGTCTGAAAATAAAAATTCCGGGCAGGGAGTTGAGGAAACTCTGGCTTCTCACCTTTAGTTAGTCAAGTAAATTATAATCTCTCTAATTTATATATATATATATATATACACATATACATACACACACACACACACACACACACACACACACACACACACACACAT